CGAGCAGCTGCTGGCCGCGCTTGAGCCGCGGGGGCTGCAGGCCGTCACCGGGACGGGCGCCGCCGTCGGCTTTGCCGCGTGGAGCTTGGGAGGCGGCTACGGCCCGCTGGACGCGCGGTACGGCATCGGCGCGCACCAGATCGTCGCTGCAAAGGTGGTGAATGGCCAGGGAAGGCTGCTGCAGGCGGATGACCGGCTGCTGAAGGCGATTCGCGGCGGTGCTGGCTTCTTTGGTATCGTGGTGGAATTGACAGTCAAGGTCTACCCACTAGACGGCGTGAGTAATGCATTCGAGTCGTCAAGGTTTCGACTGCCGCAACGGTCGCTAACTTGATATTGCAGATTCAATCGGGTGTTTTCCTCTTTGAGTCGTCTGACCTCGAAAAGACCGTCACCACCGTCCTGACCGCATACAACCAGCTGGCCGGCGACGGGCTCCCCAGCAACTTCTGCGTGCTGCCCATCATCATGCCCTTTCCCAACGCCGGCGTCATCCTCGCGCTGTCCACCGTCTGGAGCGGCGCGGCCTCGGAGGAGTCGCGCGCGTGGGCGGACAAGGTCGGCGCCTTTGCGCCTCGCCTGCCGGGGCCGCCGGTCCAGGCCACGACCATGCTGGGCATGCTGCGCAGCCTGACCAAGATGATGCGGCCGCACGTCCGCGGGCACTGGCACAGCGCGTCCCTCACGCACCTCTCGCCGCAGGCCATTCGCGTGCTGGCAGCGCAGGCGGCCAAGATTCCCGCGGCAGGAAACGGCGGCTTCGCGCTGCATGTGGTGCGCGCCGACAGCCCGTCGTGCGCGGGCACTGCGCCGGCTTCCGTCACGCCGTACGGCACCCCGCACGTGTCTGTCGACATTCTGGGCATCGTCGACATTGCCGGCGAGGACGAGGTAGAGCAGGCCATGGTGAGCTGGGCTGAGGAAGCCAGGGATGCGCTGGCCAGGGTTGATGCTGCTGCTGGCTTTACGTATCTGCCGTTTACGCATCCCAGTCACCTCAACTTGCAAGGCATTTTTGGCGACAACTTGGAGTTTATGCGTCAAATCAAGAAGGAGCAAGACCCGAACAACGTCTTCAACAATGGACTTGTCCGTGTGTAAATATTCAGCTATTTCTTCATACCAACTGACGCAATCAATGTCCAATGAATAATTGCACAAACTAGATGTTTTTCCAATACATATATGCACTAGAAATATTTGTTACAGATTTTGGGGGCGGGGTCGTGACACTCATTCCATCGCTCTGCCTCGCCGGTGCGAGAGAGTTGCTCGTTGCAATTGCCGACCGCTCCTCCGCTTAATCAAGGTCATCTATTTAGATTACAATATACTTTATTTAGAAAAAGGCCCGATTTCTCACCTACACGGAATAGACCAGTCCAGACCCTGTCCGACCCGTTGAGGGTGCATACATCTGCATCGTGAGCATTCTATTAACCCCGCAGGCTGCAATGACCGCATTAGCGCTCTGTACAGACCCTTTCAGCTCCGCTGTCGAGTTTATATTGGACGTTTAGTCGCACGTATGTAGTCATTGTCATATAGGCAAATATGGCATGATAAAGTAGCAAAACCAGACAAGTTGTCATCATCATTCATCATCATCAGCAGTGACGAGGCCATGGTTAGTTGACCTGCTCGCCGCACTTCCTTTCATCCAGTCCTAGACCGTTCATTTCATTGACGCCAAAGTGGCGAGAATCACCATCTTGGCTCATACACCATTTCATGCCTCGAAAACGTACGCAGCGACGCCTTCGTACGTGTATCCCAACCTGCGGACCGCATTCTCCATCTCGGGCGAGCTGGTCGTGTAGAAGTGGTCCCGCTGGCCGCCGCTGTAGGCACGGTAAAACGGGACCGTGTCGTCTCTGTTGCCCGCCTTGAACACCCAGCCCGTGATGCCCTCGTCCTGGTATCCGAGGTGCTGCACGGCGTTGTCGCGCTCCGCGGCCGAGGTGGTGTAGAAGTGGTCCGACGCGCCCGGGGACCAGGTCCGGTAGAGAGGGACGCTGTCTCCGACCAGTCGCGAGTAGATGCGGGCGGCGACGCCTTCGGCAGAGTAGCCGAGGTTGGTGACGGCGTTGTTGTATTCGTTGTAGTCGGTGGTGTAGAAGTGGTCTTTGGCTCCGGCGCTGTATGCCCGCCACAGCTCGGTGATTTGTTTGGCCTGTGCCTCCTTGAGATAGAGTTAGCACCCAATCATGTTTTTATGTTCATCACACCATGGTAGTTTGGTGGTTATTGTGAAGCAAGTAGGTCATGCATACTGCGGTGGCTGGAGCCGCAGAGACGGCAGCGCAGAGTGTGGCAAGAACGGTGAAGAAGCGCATGGCTATTTTTGTAGTTGTTGTCTTGTTTTTTTATCCTTTTAATATGAACAAGTTGCCACTTCACTTGCACATGGCAGAGGAGACGGCCGGTATTTATGTCCCGGAGGGCTTCGCTCGGGATGCTCTTCTTCCCATGCTACGTTGCACAGCTTCAGCTCTTGGCCAAGTTTTCGTTAGTAAGAGCGCGTTCTTTATCCGCAGTGCGGCTGAAGCATTCGTCGCCGTACTTGGCGATATCATCCGTAGCTGAATATGGCTGGGCATGGAACATGGTCCAGACTCCTGGGCAGCAGCGCAGCGTGCATCATGCAGATGCGATGCTCATGCCGCAATGACTTGAATGTGAAGCGACATCACTAACAATCAACTCACAAAAAGCGGAGTAACTGCAATTAATCTGGGCAATTCCTTGGGTTAAATGCATCTACCTTGAGAGACGGTCGAGTCCCCAAAGATGTTACCGTTTACGACGCCTCAGTTCTTCATGTGCAGCAATAATGAACAAGGCTCTGTGTGGACGCTTTTGTGGTAACATCGCGGCTTTCTTCCCCGCCTATAGGCTAGATTAAATCCTACTCTGGTCAGTTTCTCAAGTACGAGATATACCAGATGAAATCCTACTCAGGTCAAGTTCTCGAACTCGAGACTCCGCAGCGAGCTCGACTGCTGCCTCCACTTGACAGAGGTCTTCGACTGTACCACTTTGCGCACTACCATGGCTGTATTCGAGATTTTTATAGAGTCCTTGAGAGGTTACTCCTTGACTAGCGCCGTCTCTGTTGTGTTGATAGTGGCCCTCGTCCTGTCCCTCGTCGCGAGGCTGCACCAGTTTCATCGCCTCCGACACTTTGATGGACCGCTTCTCGCCGGCTTCTCCCGTCTTTGGCTCCTCCAAACAGTATGGGGCGGCAAATCCCATCTCATCTTCTGGGACGTGACTTCCAAGTATGGTATGGAGCTACTCTGGCCGTGGCCCATTTCCTAGCCTCTAATTACATGCTTTCCAAGGCTCCATTGCGCGGGTCGGTCCAAACGATCTAATCACCAGCGATCCCGAACTTGTAAAGCACATGCACAGTGTCCGATCTGCTTATCGGCGCTCGGATTGGTATGACGGTATAAGGTTTGACCCAAACAAGGACAATCTGGCGTCGTTGCGAAATGAGGCTGAGCACAAGACTTTGCGAGCAAAAATGGCGGCCGGAGTGAGTTTCATTCTCCAATCCTCCCTTATTAAGATCCCTCCATTGGTATCCCATGCTGTGGAGTTATTTGGCCATCTTCTCATCTGTTCCTAGTACTCTGGTCGCGAAATCGACGGGCTAGAGCTGAAAGTTGATGAAAACATCCTACGCTTTATGCATCTACTCGCCAAGTATGCCAGCGCCAACCAGGTTCTCGACTTGGCACGCAAGGTTCAGTATTTTACGTTGGACGTCATTTCCGACATATCCTTTGGCAAACCCTTTGGTTTCCTCGAGACAGACTCGGACATTTATCGATACATTGAAACCACGGAGCGGGCATTTCCCCTGCTCATGATGACCACCGTCGTCCCCTTCTGGGTCAAGATTCGCGCCTCGCGGCTTTTGAGAAGTGCAATGCCCTCTGAAAGCGATCGGTTTGGGCTTGGTAGAATAATAGGGTATGTCTAGTACCTCAACCCACCCTCCCTCTTCCATCCACCACTCCTGGCTGACCTCGTCACTACAGGATTGCCCAAGCAGTCGCCGCTGAACGCTTTGGCAAAAGTCCCAAGGTTCAACGTGACATGCTCGGCTCATTTGTATCTCACGGACTAAGCCAATCAGAGGTTGAGTCGGAGATTCTACTTCAAATGTACTCATCCGAGCGCTCTCTTCTCCATCTAATCCGATCACTAACATGGCAATCAAGTGTCGCTGGTTCCGACACCACCGCTACCGCCATTCGCTCCACGTTGCTGTACATTTCCACGAGCCCACGGATTCATGCCAAGATGCGCCAAGAGATTGACGACACTCCTCTTTCCGACACAGTCGTTTCCGAAGAGACAGCGCGCTCCATGCCCTACTTGCAGGCAGTCATCAAGGAGGGCCTGCGTATGTTCCCCCCCGTCGCCGGGCTCATGGCAAAAGAGGCACCAGCTGGTGGACACTACTGGAAGGGCGTCTTCATTCCTGGCGGTACGCATGTCGGAGTATGTGCTTGGGGCATCTTTCGACGACAGGATATCTGGGGCACGGATGCGAATGAGTTTCGGCCCGAACGGTGGCTGGACAGCACACCAGAGCAACTCGGCCGAATGGAGGGAACCCTCGAGCTGATTTTTAGCCACGGCCGGTGGCAGTGTCTTGGTCGTTCTATTGCGCTGATGGAACTGAACAAGATATTTGTACAGGTACGATGTCGCGAGCTTGCTGCTGGCTGCGCTGCTCCAAGCAACTGACAGACACAGATTTTGCGGCAATTCGATGTGTCCGTCTGCGATCCGACGAACCCTTGGAAAGTCTACAACTGTGGCATATTTTCGCAGAGGGATTTCTATGTGAGGCTCAGTAACCGACAATAATACGATGCTGCCGAATGGAGCGTCAGATGCTCGTCCGCTCGGGGGCAAACTTGTATCGCACCCCTCGATACTCGTCCGAATAGCCGACTCCATATGTGGCAAGCCTGCTGAAGAAGCTTCTGATGCCGGGCAGTGGCATGTTCACCACGACGCGGGTATAAGTGTTGGCAGGCACGCCCCAACTCTGGGTGCTGACCTGACCACGCCACGCTGGCCTCCTCATCATAGATTTCTCTTCCATTCATCATCACACAATACACCTGTTTCCCTTGCTTTTGCTCGTGCTGACCGGTCGTGATGCCTCACTCCCTCCCTTGATACACTACAATAAGTTACGGTCGCATATTAGCTCCGGTTCATAGGCCACCACCGAACGTACAGACATATAACTTCATTTTTTTTATTATTATAAGTATAAAAGATATATAAGATACATAAGATAAGTAGGATAAGTAAGATAAGTAAGACAAGTAAGATAAGTAAGACAAGTAAGATAAATAAGATAAGTACGAACGAGCTAATATGCGACCGTAGACGGAATACTCCTAGGTTAGGCCGTTCCTGATCAGCGCTACGTAGTCTTCGACGGATATGTTTGTATTTTTTTTCTTTTAAATAAAACAGGAGGATGGAAAAGGGGGATAAAAGTAGAGCGAGAGTCGTCGCTTGTTCTGAGGCGACTAGCAGGGTTCGTCTCTAATAGATCGAGGATTCGAAATAGTATCTCTATTGTACTAATTCTCTATATATGTCATAGTGAAGTTCTTTCTATCAACTGTCGTTTAATTTGCATTCATCCTAGCGAACAGCCCACCAAGCATAGGAGCTCGCCCGCCGACGAATAAGATCGCAATGCCGCTCCTAAGCGCACGTACCCCCCGGTCTAGATCTGAATTGGCAAACATTTAATTATTTACAGAACTTAGAAAACCCAATGCCTCACCCGCTAGAAGCCACTGATCCCCATCCCTCTGGATTACGGGTGCAGACGAATGTACCCATTTTGCATCGCGAGGAGTTGGTGATTTGAACTGACCGTGCCCTGTGGTGCGCAGTGAGACTTGTCGGTCGGGGAATTGCGTGTTGCTTATTGTGGCATGCGCTATTGGCGGCAATCCAAGCTTGTCGATGACGCCGTACTCGCTACGGTCCGGTCACGGTCGGTACAGCAGTGATTGTGAATGTTATTACTGTGCCTGCGGCTCCTGTAAGGCTGCCGGAACCCTGTGACGCGCTCGATGATGGATCTGGTGGTATGACAAAAGTGGAGGTATCAAGCGTCACAGTTGTTGTGATGGTGCTGGAGCTTATTGTCAAGGTAGATGTACAGCTTGAGTCGCTGGATGTCGCCTGTGTTGTCGAGCTTGGAGTGGATGCAGATGTCGTCGTGGTTGAAGATGACGTGGTCGTTGGTTCACTACTGGAGTCTGTTGTGCTCGAATCCGTCGTACTTGATCCTGTGGAAGTTGTTCCTGAGTTTGTGGAAGTTGTTGTCGAATTTGGGGTCGATGAAGATGTCTCTGTGGATGAAGATGTCTCTGTGGTTGAAGATGTCTCTGTGGTTGAAGACAATGTTGGAGTTGATTCGGTGCTGGAGTCTGTTGTGCTCGAACCCGTCGTACTTGAGATTGTGGAAGTTGTTGTTGAGCTGGTCGTAGGTGCAGATGTCATTGTGCTTGAAGACGACATTGGGGTTGCTTCGGTACTGGAATCTGTCATGCTCGAATCTGTCATACTTGAGCTTGTGGAAGCTGTGGTTATACTTGTCGTTAAGGAGAGTGTTGAGGCCATATCAGTACTGGAATCGGTTGTGCTCGAATCCGCCGTACTTGTGCTTGTGGAGGTTGTGGATATACTTGTTGTTGAGGCTAGTGTTGAGGTCATCTCAGTACTGGTATCCGACGTGCTGAAATCTGACGTTGAGGTAGTTGTGGGTATGCTTGTCGTTAAAGAAGTCGTCGAGGTCATTTCACTGCTAGATCCCGACGTGCTGGATCCCGGCGTGCTAAGATCGGATGTGCCAGTATCTGCCGTGCTGAGATCTGACGTTGAAGTGGCTGTGGGCATGCTTGTCATGGAAGGAGTCGTTGAGGTCATTTCACTACTGGATCCCGACGTGCTGGACCCCAACGTGTTGGCATCCGACGTGCTTGAGTCTGACGTGCTGGATCCTGGCGTGATGGTATTCGAAGTGCTGATATCTGACGTTGAGGGGGTCGTAGGCATGTCTGTTATCGAAGAAGCCGTTGAAGGAGTCGTTGGGGTCCTCTCACTACTATTGGCCAAAGTGCTGGTATCTGACATGCTGGGACCCGACGTGCTGGTATCAGAAGTGCTAGGATCTGACGTCGCGGTGGTTGTTGGCATGTTTGTCGTCAAAGACGTCGTCGGAATTACCTCGCTACTCGAAACCGACGCGCTGGATTCTGGGGTGCTGGAGCTTCCCTCACTGGGGCTCGTTGTGGTGATGGGTGTGTTGGTTGTTGAAGAGGACGTTGCGCTTGATCCACTGTTGGGGTCTGGGGAGCTGTGATCGGTCGTGCTTGAGCTTGTCGTGGTTGTGGATATGTTTTCTGTTGAAGACGAAGTTGGGGTCACTTGACTGGATAGAGTCGTCGCGGGGTTAGGCGTGGTGGGATTTGACGTGCTGGAATCTGCCATGCTTGAGCTTAGAGTGTCTATTGTTGTGCTTTCCGTTGTAGACAAAGTTGGAGATACTTCGCTGGAGCTAAGAGTGGTCGTATCCGTACTAGAGCTTGCGGTTATAGATGTGCTTTCCATTGCTGACGAAGTTGGGGTCTCTTCGTTGGAGCTCATGGTTGCGGTATTCAACGTGCTAGAACTGCTCGTGCTTGAGCTTGCAATTATGGTTGTGCTTTCTATTGGTGAGGAAGTTGGGGTTACTTCGCTGGAGCTTAGAGTGGCTGTATCCGGCGTGCTAGAGCTTGCGATAATGGATATGCTCGTCGTTGATTGAGATATCGAAATCATTTCGCTGCTCGAAGATGAAGTACTTGAGCTAGGAGTAGTAGAGTCTGGCGAACTAGACTCTGATATCGTTGAGCTTTGGGTGTCTGTAGACGTGTTGTCCGTCGATTGGGGCGTTGTGGTATTTTCGCTGCTTGAACTCGAGGTGCTTGAACTCGAGGTGCTTGAACTCGAGGTGCTTGAGGTTGTAGTGCTAGAATCCGACGAGCTAGACTCCGTGATGGCTAAGCTTGTGGTCTCTGAGAATGTGCTGACCGTTGATTGAGATGTCGAGATTGTTTCGCTGCTTGATGAGGCACTTGAGCTCGAAATTCTAGACTCTGACGTGCTAGACTCCGTCGTCGTTAGGCTTAAGCTAGTTGTGATTGTGAGCGTGCTTAGGGTCGAAGATAGAGTCGCGGTTACTTCTGTGCTCGAATCTAAGACGGTTGAGCTTGGTCTGGTATCCGTCGATGCCGTTGAGTTGGTTCCCGGTGTCGAGTTGGTTCCCGGTGTCGAGTTGCTTGTGCTTGGTATGACTGAGCTGTTTGTTGCTAGGTCGGTTGTCGTAACAGGTTCGGTGTTTGAAGTCGGGTCTGGTACACCACTGCCACTTCAGGATGAATACGATGACAAAGATATTTCTGTCGTAGTCGGCGTGCTCGATCTATCCAGTGTACTCGACGTAGTTGGCGTGATTGGCACTGTGGAAATAGATGAGAGACTCGAGGTAGTCACCGTACTCGATGTCACTGGCGTGATTGGGATGGTTGATGTGATGAAGGAGCTTGGGACGCTTGGGAAGCTGGAGAATCTTGAAGTGGGCGGCTGAGAGGTACCCGATGGTGACGTGGTCACTTTGGAGGTCATTGGAGTAGTAGAAGACTTCGATGATTCTTGCTCTGTAGAAGTTGCACTACTTGCCTTGGAGGAAGGGAACGCTGATGAACTTGTAGTTGCGACCGTCTCTGAGTCTGCAGAAGAGCTAATCGTCGTCGGATCACCGTATGAATTGCGAGATGTCACTGGGGTACTCTGCACTTCGCTTTGGGACGACGAGCTCACTGTCAGTGAGGTCAATGTCGTACTGCTCAGGGGCGGCATGAGCGTGCTAGTTGTGGCTTGTGTTTGTCGGCTAGTCTCACTGTCAATGCTAGTTATTGTGGTTGAAATATTTGCGCCTGTCTCTCCGCTCGAGCTCGTCTTCTCGGTATTCGGACTCTGTGAGGAAGGAAAGCTATAGGTTGCCTGGAACTCGGGGCTGGTGGTATGTGAAATGACCGAAGTCACCATGCTTCGAGGCCTTGAGGTAGTCTGAGATTCCGGAATTGTCTGTGTACCCATTGGAATTGTTGAATGGTCGCAGGTAATAAAACTTGATCCGGTGACCACCATTGTTTCGTCGGACGCTGCAGAATAGACCTGATCGAGTTCCTCGTCGATAGGAGAAGGCAATGTCGGTCTTGTCTCGCTTTCCACAGTGACTAGGATGGAGGACTCTTGGAAGACGTTGGTTTCTGTAATGGGCTGTTAGCTCTCAATCGGACGTTTTGAACCAGCAGCCCTGACTTGCCTGTGTAAGAAGCTTCAGCGATGCAAAAGCACCGCCCAACGTCAACCAATTGCGATCCCCATGGTCGCTGGACGGTGACAGTCTCTGTCACAATCACCGTGTCCTCGACCTGCGCTCGAGTACCTGCAAGCAACAGCGCTACGGCGCATGCAATGTAAGTCATGGAAAACGCGTTCCGGTGTGTGAGCGACCACGACGACGATGTTGCCGACGTTGGACTCGACACTGCGCGAAAATTTCGACAATGGCTCAGAGCTCTGGCTCGAGAAAAGGGCCATTAAACGATTCAAACAACATTGGGATTCTATATCTGGTCTAGCTGGTCCCGACAAGCCATCGTCTGAGCAGTCGACGATTAAGCATTGCCTTGGCCCGTTGCGGGGAGGGAGTCGTCTTGTCATGGCCGACGTGAAAAGAGCCGGAATGACACTCACGAGCTGGGGGATAAAAGGACGAAGCGAATAAATGATTTCATATTGGTGACAACCATGTTTGCCGCCTAAATTCTGCCAATCAAGCTTCCTTTTACCTGGAACTGAGTGGTCAATGATGGAGCTTCTCACGGGTTGGAACTTGGACACGGACGCCACTTGAGTCGCTCATGCCTCCAAGCATGGCAAAAGAATGAAAGTAGCACGTCTCTGAGACTTTTGGGGAAATTGCAGTATTTGAAGCATGCCAAGCGTTTTTATATTTATAGAAATCGACCGCATCGGCGCGGAACGCAGAACCAAAGAGGCCTAGAGGTACGCCAGAGGCGAGACAAGGCGCGAAAACAATGGGCTGCTGAAGACGCCACATTCTCAGCGAGCCAAACGCAGCGAAATGCGGCGTAACTTTGTTCTTACAGCATCATGTCCTGGCAACCGTGTAACGCCTGAAAGCCATTCATTGCCCAAAGCCTTGGTACTTATTAGGGTGTCGCGGCGAGGCAAAACCTCCACTAAATTGGTCAGCAACCGAACTGAAGCTTCTCGTCGCCACTCCTCGACGCCTTCACCATCCGCCTGCATTCCATCCACACACACACACCCGCCCCGAAGATGGAGAGCAAGATCCGAGAGCTCCGCGGCATCCTCAAAGACTCGGCCTCTGCGCAGCGCGCCGCGGACCCGCGCACGATTGCGCTGCAGCACGCGCGCGTCGTGCAGCACCGCAAGGACCTCGAGGCCACCATCCTCGACAGCCTGATCCTGCTCTCCGAGTACCCGCCGACGCGCGGCCCGGGCATCGACGCGTCGCGGCCGGCCGCGTCCGACGCCGCCGGCTTCAAGACGCACGTGCGCCTCTTCCAGCCCTCCGACTACGACGACCTCATCGCCGAGCGCCACGTCAACGGCCTGTGCGGGTACGCGCTGTGCCCGCGCCCGCACCGCGACACGGGACCCGGCGGCACCTGGCGCATCACCGGCGCCGGCCACATCGTCAAGCGCGAGGATCTTGAGCGCTGGTGCGCGCACGCGTGCGCCCGCCGCGCCCTCTACGTCAAGGTCCAGCTGCACGAGGCCGCCGCCTGGGAGCGCGCTGGCAGCCCCGACATCCACATTGACTTGCTCGACGAGGACCTGCTTGATGCCGACGTAGACCGCGCGACGCAGCAGCTGGCTGACTTGCAGATTGAGGAGCAGGCGCGCCAGGCCAGGGACGCCGCGGCGCTGGCTGCGGAGAGGGGCGATCGCCCGCGCCGAGCGGGCGGCGCCGCGGGGAAGCAGAGGGTGCCTGTGTCGCTGCAGGAGAGGGAGACGCAGGTGCCGGATTTGAAGAACCTGCGCATCAGCGAAGACGACGACGACCATTTACTTGTCGAGGGATATAAGACCAATCTAGGCGAGTCTGCTCACCGATAATGAGGCATGGTATCTACTGGTTGATGATATTTGTTGTACACATATACGTAGCTTACGCTTTACTTTTACGATTTGAGATGAATGATACCCACTGCAAGGAAACATTTCCGCAAAGGACGCTTGTCACTGCTTTCACGTGAAAATTGTTGAGCATTTCGAGCTGGACGGTAACCCTTTGCGGTGTTGCAGTTCGTATCATTTCGTCTCTGGAAAGAAATCAAACAAGAGGGCTTGTCCGCTTCTGTTTCACACGCACGCACAGCGGGCACGGGGAGCGTCCCAGCAAAGAGGAGACATGGCAATCAAGCCTTTCAATGAGGGACCAAGCCACTTCTCTTGCGAGAAACAGCCCGGCCCTCATCGTCCAGCGACACCTAGTGGGGGCGAAAAGATCTTTTCTTTGAGATCTAAAGCACTTTCGCTAACCGATCCTTGAGACGCCAAGTCGTCATAACATCCGCGGCACGTAAAATGGCCATGCAAAAAACCCAAAAAATGTAGTGTGTGTATCAATGTGTTTCTCCTCGTCCGTGATCCTGTTTTCTTTTTCCGAAAGACAAATGAAACGATTCGCTTAATCGCGGCGGGGGCGGTTGCCACCACCACCGAAGCGGCGCTCGGGGCCCTGGGACTGAGCAACGGCGACAACGTTGACGGGGATGGAGTCAAACTGCAACAAAAAGTCTTGTTAGGTCCTTTCTTCTGGTACAATTTCAAAACTCGAAGTAGAAGCAAGAGAGAAAAAAAACTTACGCCGAGGTGCTTGAGCAGGTCCTTGGTCTCGCCATCGACCTGGAGCAGGCCACCCTCGTTGTGCGAGGGGTCGAGGGCCGAGATCTCAGGAACGTACTGATCCTTGCGCTCACGCTCCTCCTCCTGGAGCTTGAAGGAGATGCCGCGGACGGGACCACGCTGAATGCGCTTCATCAGATGGGTGGTGTAGCCGGCAATCTTGTTGCGGAGACGCTTGGAGGCGATGATGGCAATCTCGTCGCAGATGCGCTTGTTGGTCTCAAAGTCGAGGGTCAGGCGCGGGTAGTAGCGCTCAATGATGACCTTGGCGGACTTCTTGACGGTCTTGGTGCGGACGCGACCCATGTTGGCGGTGTTGTGGTGGTGGTGGTGGGAGGGGTGTTGGTGATGTTGTCGTGGGTGGGCAAAAGCTGTCTCGTAGTCTCTCACGAAATTTCGACCATCTCAAAAATCGGTGATCCGGGTTTCAGTGGGGCACTACCAGTAATTAGGGCTTGTGGACAGCGTCACCTGCTAGATCACGTGCAAAGCGCAAAACGTGGGGCACAGCTGGTGGGGTTTCTTAGAGGACTCTGATTGGACAATTGACCAGACATCCTTGCGGAAGTAATGAGACCATCAAGCATGAAGCAACCTCGCGGAAAGGCTCAAAAACATTGGTCTTGCAAAAACCATGGCACCTATTGACCAGTCCCCTATCAGCTACGCCCTTCCAAGATTGATGCAATTCCGGGTCCTGCTACTTCAATATGAGTAAATCTTTCATTCAGGTTTATGCTACTGGTACATGTTTTATATGAGATTGCGCCGGCTTCCCGTAGATATACAATAATCCCCCATGACTCTCACCTAAAGCGCTTGTTTTGCATAATCTCGTCAGTGACGGTGTCTAGCCGATGCGCAGCACGATCCATGCCGGTCTCTTGAGGGCGCAGCTCACGCTTCATGGGGCCATCATGGTACACCTTACTCTTGCCGGTGCTCTCCTTGGCGATGACTTGGGCTTCCGCGCCCGCCTCCCTGAGCTCCAGGATAACGCGGCCGCTGGGGTCCACGCTGGCCGATACGGGCTCAATGTAGGTCTTGGCGCCGCCAAATGTGGTTGTGTCGAGGTTGGCAATGCCGTTGGGCAGTTGCCGCACGCTACCCTTGGCCTTGGGGTTTCTGGTATTGAACTCGTTGTCGCCGGAGGGTGGGTCTGCCACGAAACCAGCGACACCGAGGCGAGGCGGCGTGTTGATGGTCCGGGGGCTGATAAGACGGGCCAGCGTGGGCGTGCGGCGCGCCTGGGGGCCATACACCGGGTGGTTCTCCAGGACGGAGCCTGTTCGCAGGTAGCTGATGCCGGCCGATGGATGTGTTGTGGGTGGTCCGGCCTTGCCCCAGGGGCTCTCGGCCAGCGGCGGGAAGAGACTCTGGACCATGCCGACGGGCTGGCCAAGCGGTGCCAGGTCGAGGAACTTGGAGACGATGGCGTACAAGACGGCCCGGTCGTTGCGCAAGGCGCGCAGATACTCGGTAAACTGTGCTTCCGTAATGTCGGCGGCCGTGACGGGCGGGGGCACGTCGATGCCCTTTTCCATGGCGTAGCTGTTTTGGCGGGCGGTGATGTCCTCGGCGAGGCCCTTGCGCAGCAGCGCGCGGAACTGGGCGCGCTGCGGCCGGACCTGCCTGTCCAGGTAGCGGCCAAACTCACCCTCTGTCATCCGGGCCAGCCAGGGGCCCTCGTACTTCCAGCGGAGATGGCCGGCGCGGTCACCGTCGGTGGCATCGAAGCGCTCCTCAAAAACGGACTTGTGGCCCGGCGTCTCGCGGAGCGTGGTGCTACCGGCCTCGGCGCGCTTCCGCGGGATCGCCATGGGCACGCGCAGCTCCTGAAACTTTTCGAGCGACAGCGTGTGGTCGGCGGCCGACGCAAAGTCGGTCACGTTCTCCATGGCGTCGATGTTCTTGAGACGGATGAGGGGCGTTGACGTGTTGAGCGTCGTCTTGAGCGGAAAGGGGCGCTTGAAGCCCCAATCGCCGTTTTGGCGCGACGACAGCGGCGCCGTCACCGACTGCATCTGCGGCCGCGCCTTGGTCATGGACTTGGAGCTCCGGTCGGCGATGTGCTGCAGGCCGGCGTGTGGTTCGGGCAGGGGCTTGGGCATGGAGAACATGCGCGAGGATCGCAGCAGCGCCCCGCCGGGCGATACAGCGCGGCCGCCCATGATGAGAATTGGGAATGGACCGCGGCCGAACTGGTGGGCGAATGGGCAGCTGGGTGGGAGACAATTGGTCGTGATTGAAGCTGGCAAGTCGTTTGCTGGCAGGATGATGTTCAGGAAAATTGCTGGAGCTGGAGCTGGGGCCAAATTGCCGTGGTTTGGCCGATGTCCAGGGCGAGGAGATGCATTTTAGCGGTCATGGTGAGATTTACAGCGCGGAAGACCTGCCAAACTCCACTAAACCAAAATTTTCTACCAGAAGCGTTATGCAAGGCTTCACTGGCAGCTCAAAGGAGGGTCTCACGCTGGGCAGAAAAGCTTTCTGACTTGCATGAGGCTCCAAACACTTGCAATCACATCTAGCAAAGGGGATGTTGGCAGCCCGCAAGATGGCTTCCAACGTATATACTTCGCCAGCTCTCAAGTTTGAGCTGCTCGGGCGTTGTTCTGTGAGTCTCGCATACGCACGTGTCATCCAACAGGTGGCCAACTAACAGGCTGTGATAGACAACGAGAGCCAGAGCATCGATCCTTACTTTGCCTCATGGCCCGGTGAAGCTGCCAGTATTTATGCCGGTTGCTACCCAGGCTTCACTAAAGGGCATCACGCCAGAGCAGCTGGAGGAAACAAGTTGCCGGCTGTGCCTCAATAACACATACCATCTTGGGCTGAAGCCAGGCCAAGAAGTGCTAGATGCTGTTGGTGGCGCGCACAAGCTCCAGGGTTGGAAACATAATATCCTTACAGACAGTGGCGGGTGAGTGTGCTGGTGCCGGCTGTGAAGCTCTCACATCACTAACACTAGGCAGCTTCCAAATGGTCAGTCTGCTGAAGCTGGCCACTATTACAGAAGAAGGCGTTCGCTTTCTGAGTCCCCACGATGGATCTCCCATGTTACTTACGCCCGAGCACTCCATGTCATTGCAAAACTCTATAGGCAGCGACATCATGATGCAACTAGACGACGTGATTGTCACAACGTCGCCAGACACGGAACGCATGCGCGAGGCGATGCGGAGAAGCGTGCGCTGGCTCGACCGCTGCATCGCCGCGCACAAGAAGCCCGAGAGCCAGAACCTGTTTTGTATCATCCAGGGCGGGCTGGACCTCGCGATGCGCCGCGAGTGCTGCGAGGAAATGATTGCGCGCGACACGCCCGGCATCGCCATTGGCGGACTCAGCGGTGGCGAGGCGAAGGCGGACTTTTGCCGCGTGGTGGAAGCGTGCACGTCGATGCTGCCGGAGCTCAAGCCGCGCTACGTTATGGGCATCGGGTACCCAGAGGACCTGGTGGTCAGCGTCGCGCTGGGGGCCGACATGTTTGACTGCGTGTGGCCGACGCGGACGGCGCGGTTCGGCAACGCCGTGACCAAGCAGGGCGTCCTCAACATCCGCAACGCTAAGTTTGGCCACGACTTTGGGCCGATTGAGACGGGCTGCGGCTGCGAGTGCTGCCGCCCGGGGGGCCTGGGCATCACCAGGGCCTACATTTACCACAACACGTCGAAAGAGACGGTGGCGGCGCATCTGCTCACCATTCACAATGTGTGGTACCAGCTGAACCTGATGCGCGAGGTGCGCGAGGCGATTCTGGAGGACAGGTTCCCTGCGTATATCCGAGCCTTCTTTGGGGGGCTGTATGCGGACAAGAGCGAGTTTCCGGCTTGGGCGGTGGAGAGCTTGAAGACTGTGAATGTAGACTTGCTGGCTGAGTAAAGGCCAGATACATTGTGGAAGACATGGATCGGCGTTTGGTAGCAAAAGCGTTGACGTTTGTGGTGATGCATTTACCCTATAGTAGGCTCTTTGTGTGCGATTGAATTACATTGACCGTCTCATATACTGCAGATGTTCATCAAATGTAGCTGCAATGCAAATCTCATGTTTGTCTTCTTTTTCTAGGACAGGAGATGAAGAATGGCGTCGCTTTGTCGAACACTACACGAAATGCATGAAGGTCTTGTGAGGCGACGATGGCAGGCTAACTCCATGCTCCCTGTACTAGCCAGCGACAAGTTTTTGGATCTTGGTTAAGCTCAGACAACTCGGGTATCTTCATTGACTCAGTCATGGCAAGACAAGGCGTGTACGTGTAATGCATTATTGAGAACCCTTCGCAAGCCTCTGGTTGGCTTGCCAGCGTGTGTGACTTCTTTACTTCCACGCTGAGCGGGGTGACATCGTGCAACAAAACAAGACAGCCCTGCAGCCCTGCCATAGAGTTTAAAGCATTGGCTAACAGCAGACGTAACGATCAAGGTAACAAACAACCAACTCCAAATGCTTTGCGGCTGCCAGCCAGCTTGACCCTGCCTATGCACCAAGCCGTCGCCAAACGCGCATATGGTGTGGCCGCGACACGCCATGACAGGCTTCTGGAATAACAATGGTCCACAAAATGCATTTGTAGACGGGGTTACGGACCAATGGTTGAACAAGGGTGGCGCGGTGGTTTCGAGAAGATTTGATTAAATATATTTTACTTGATTTCATCTCGGCGTAATCGGTGAAAGTTGTTGTGCGTTTGTTTCGTCCGAGGCGGCACAGTAGACAGTAGTTGGTTGTCTGCGAGTGAAGGAAACGACCTGACCAGATGCAAGCAAGGTTGTAACTACTAAGAGTTTTTTCCTTTATTTTTCAGAAAAAAGGTTGAGGACACCTTGCATGAATTCAAAGCTTATGAGAATTTTCAAATGGAATAAAATCAAAGGCACAGCTAGTCAAGTCACAACTAAATCGCACGTTAGACAAAGCCAGCCCACTAATGCAACAAACACACCACCATACTTCCATGCGTCTCCCCTGCCAGGGGCCAACTTAACTTTCGCATAACAACAACGCTTGAACCCCGCCACCACCACCTTTTCCCACGGACAGCCTGCCAATCTATAGCTGGAATTGTTATAATTGCCTCGTCTGCTGCTGTCGCGGCCATTTTGAAACCCAACCTGCCTATAGGGCCTATGATCTTCTACACAGCATCATGCGCACGCCTAGCACCGCCTCGACGCCGTCGCGCCGACTGTCTGCCCACACCACCACGGCCGTGTCCGCCAGGGACGACGACAATGGCATCACGCAGTCGCTCAGCCAGCTGTCGCTGCTGACCTCGGGCGAACACCACGCCGGAAGCGCGGTCCCGCGCGGCGGCGGCGGCGCGCTCAGACAGCCCTCGTCGACATCGCGACGCACCTCGGTCTCGCCCAGCCACCGCATACCCTCGCGCAGCCCGTCCGGGCGCGACTCGCGGCCGACGACGCCAACCCTGCTGCGCAAAGCCTCGATGAACTCACTGCACTCGGCCAACGGCCACGGGCCCGGCCGCGCGCCCTCGCGCCGCGCGAGCATGACCCAGACCATGTCGTCGCCCAAGATAACCGCCCGCTCGCCGTCAGTTGGCAGCCTGCCGCCCGCCGAGGAGCAGAAGCAGCCGCCGCTGACGGCCGCGTCCGTCGCCGCCAACTACTTTCGCGCCGAGATGCAGATACACCACGGCCCGGACGCGACGCTGCCGTCCGAGACCGTCGTCATCCTACACGACGCCGTGTACGGCCACCGCTTCGCCCGGCCGCGCACGTCGCGCAGCGCGCTGAGCACCATTGTCGAGCGGCCCGAGCGAGTCAAGGCGGCTGTGCTGGGTGTGTCCCTGGCCTATGTTCGGCTCGGCGAGCGCCACGACGAGGGAGCGTACCCCCTTCACCCCAAAGCCAAGATTCGCGACATCCCCAAGATTCCGTTTCGTATTCGGAAATCAACGCGAACCGTGTCCCTGACGTCGGCTGCGGTGACAAATGTGCACGGCACGAAATGGATGGAGGAGCTGAAAACCATGTGCGACACGGCCGAATCCAAGCTGGCCTTGGGTGGCCGAGAGCTGCAAAGACCCGACAACACTGAAAGAGACGAACCTGCACAACCACTGCATGAAGGCGACTTATATTTATGCGCCGAATCGTTGGACGCCATGGAGGGTGCTCTTGGCGCCGTATGCGACGGTGTAGACGCTGTCTTCAGCCCGGCCCCGGCCCCGCGACGCGCATTTGTGGCTGTGAGACCACCAGGTCACCATTGCGCCGCGGCGCACCCTTCAGGCTTTTGCTGGGTGAACAATGTACTGGTGGGAATCATGCACGGCGCTCTCACACACGGGCTGACACATGCTGCCATTATCGATTTTGACCTGCACCACGGCGACGGATCGCAAGCCATTGTCTGGCAGCACAATGCGCGTGCCAATGCGGCGACCAAAAACTTTCAGCAGTGGAAGAAGACTTCCATAGGATATTTCAGCTTGCACGACATTAATTCCTATCCCTGTGAGATGGGCGACGAGGAAAAGGTCAAGAATGCTTCCCTCTGCATTGACAATGCTCATGGACAGAGCATCTGGAATGTCCACTTGCAGTCTTGGAAGACAGAAAGGGAGTTTTGGGACATTTACGAATCAAAATACTCGGTGATTTTGGAAAAGACGCGCATCTATCTCCGTGAACAAGCAAAGAAGCTCCGAGCAGAGGGGAAGGAGCCCAAGGCAGCCATCTTCTTCTCGGCCGGTTTTGATGCCAGCGAGTGGGAGAGCGCAGGCATGCAGAGACACCAAGTCAACGTCCCCACTGAATTTTACGCTCGACTCAGCCAAGACGTTGTCAGAATCGCCAACGAACACGGTCTTTATGTTGGCGGCCGTGTGATTAGCGTCTTGGAAGGAGGTTACAGCGACAGAGCCTTGTTCTCCGGTGTCTTTAGTCATCTGAGCGGCCTGGTCGGCAACCAGTCGATGCAGACATTGGACGCAGCGCGCGGCCTCGGCTACGAGATGGGCCAGAAGCTGGGCACCATTGCCGAGCCCGGCCCCGAAGCCACGGAGATGCAGGCCCCCGCCGGCCCGTCCCTGCACCAGTACGACGCCAGTTGGTGGTCCAGCCAGCACCTCGACGCCCTCGAGTCTCTCATCACGCACCCCCAGTCCCCTCCCCGGAAGCCGCGGACCGGCACGCCGCCCACGTACTTTTCGCCCACGCACGCGTCGTCGGCCAAGGTCATGGACCCCGTCAAGGTGCGCCGCAGCCTGTCGGGGCTCTCGTCGACGATTCAGCGGCCGCGCGCCGCGTCGCCCGTCGCGCCCGACGTGCCGTGGACCGTGGCGGCGCACGAGCTCAGCAAGGTCCTCATCCCCAGCGACCGGCAAGTGGACAGCTGCCGCGCCGAGGACCTCAACGCCGAGGCGACGCGCGCGCGACGCGATAAACAGTCGATCCTTTTGGGTATCCCCATTCCGCCGACGCCTGTGCCGCAAGAACGACCGACGTCCCGCATGGCGCTCCGAGAGCGCAGGACCAAGGCGGCGAGCTCATGTTCCACGGATGACGGCCCCGCCGCCCACAGGACCCCTGCGTCGCCGAGCAAGCGATCCTCGTCCCGTGGGGCCAGGGCCAAGTCGACAGAGGCCGAGCAGGCCTCCTTTGCTGCCTTGCATCGCCGACGCTCCCGCCGTCTCAGCGAGTCGGCCACGTCGCAGAGCCCGAGTAAGGAAGACGCCGTGCCCGTTCCGCCGCTACCCGCCGAGTACGAGCAGACGTCTGGCAGCAGCCGCGCCGGCTCTAGCATGAGCGGCGGCCAGCTCCCGGAGCTCGCGCGGGGTCCACTACTGCCGCCGCCGCCATCCAATCTACACGTCAAGAAGACGCGGCAGCGAGGCGGACCGGCGGCGGCAGCAGCCCCCACGCCCAAGGAGACGACGCCCAAGACGCCCCGCGCCGCACGCCCCGCTGCAACACCGTCGAGTAAGGCCAGGACGGCGCCGGCGGGCGCCGGCAAGCCGCGACAACAGAGCCGGCCACCCGCGCCAGCGTCGAGACCGCCCGTGCCCCCGGCCGTGGATAACATTACCACGGGTATGCGCAAGATCAAGATTAACCTGATTACGCAATCCCAAAGGGAGGCCAACAATGCCCTCCAGCAGCACACGTCGGCGGCAAGGCCCCCTGCTGCTGCTACTGCTGCGCCGGGCGTGCTCGATGAGCGCCCCGCACCGACAGTCTTATCCGCGACCGAGCCGTCCCCATTGCAGCAGGCGCCGTCTGACGCTGGCTTTCTCAGCCGGAGCACCGCCTCGGGGCTCTCGACGCCGCTCGACGAGCAGTCCATGATTGACTCGCCGTCGCCGCTCGAGAAGAAGACTGCGGCGGCGGCCGACGCCGTTAGCCCCGTCGCTGACGACGTGACGACGAGCCAGGGCGGCCTGTTCATAAACTACCAGCCCGAGGGGCCGGCGCCCGTGGCGGTGGTCCAGCGCGGCGGCGGCGGCGGGAACGGCTCACTCCAGTGGCTGGAGCCCAATGTCCCCACGCCCTCGGCGACGACGCCCGCGGTGACGCCCAGCCCGGTCAAGAAGAAGCAGGGCGGCGTGTCGCAGCTGTTCCAGTATACATCCTCGGGCATTCCGTTTGCGCCAAGACCCGGGAGCAGCGGGCAGCGAGGGGCAGCGGTCGGCGGTTTGGAGAAGCCCAAGGAGGAGGCGAAGGCAACGGCCTTGTGGGCGGTTCCGGAGACGCGCACATGAGATGGTGATGCGTGCTGGGTCTTCAGAGTGTTTTTTTCTTCTTCTCGTTTTGCTCTCTTGGTGGTATTAAAAGCAAGGTATCTGTGGGGGGTCTTTTGGCATATTGAATTGGGGAGCCACACCCGTTGTAGGATTAATATCGGCGTGACTCTTGCTGCCACGGAACAGATTTTTGCATATTCTCATTTCATTACAATGGCCGGCCTTGTTCTTTTTTCTTGTACCTTTTTTCTATTGATTATTTCATCGTGTTTGTTTATATATTTCTAATGTACGATACCCCATGCTTTTTTCATGGAGTTTATTAAATGCGTCGCTGGTCCGATTTTTGTACTCTAGCCCCCTCCCCTCTTCTTCACACAATCAAGACCCTGACGTCTCTTGTCTACTTTGCCGCCCGTCCCCTCGCCCCGCGTGTTGTGATCTGGCATCGTGTACGTTGATGAGAGAAGTAGCTGGGGCCGTGCTCTACTGGCCCGCGGCAGGCTCAAACTGCGCGCGAATCTCGGCCAGCGGCACGGCGACATCCTCGAGCGTCGTGGGGCCCTGGCCCGCGGCCCAGGGGTGCGGGTTCCGCCGAAAGGTCCAGACGTCCTGGACGCCGAGGCTCTGCAGGTATGTGACGGCGCCGAGATAGTTTGTCGCGACGTGGGCGATGCCGTGGCTGTCGTCGGAGAGGGTGAACTTGCCACCGAGCTTAATCCATTCCTGTTCACAAATTCCCATGTTTAGCAGGCACACACTCTCCCCCCCGGGTTCAGTGCACCTTTGTGCCCACCACGCCTTGAGAAACATACCTCTGCGATGCTGCGGCCCGGGTACGGCTCGGCCAGGCCCTTGCGGAGAGCCGCGCTGTTGCACTCGAGCCAGGCGCCCTGCTCGGCGGCCAGGCGCAGGTTGCGGCAGATGCGGGCCCAGACGCCGTCCCAGGCGCGGCGGACGTCGCGGTCCGGGTGGGCGCTCAGCAGGCGCACGAGGTCAAAGTGGCCGACGACGCGGGGCCGCAGCGCGACGAGCATGGCGTGCTGCAGGTCGTAGTAGTCCTCGTGCAGGCCCTCCTCGGTGCCGCCGCGCGAGGCGGCGGCGACGGCGGCGGCAAACGTCGCCGCGTCGTAGTCGATGGGGATGCCGTGCACGTGGTGCACCGAGCCGATGAAGTAGTCGAGGCACGGCGCCGCCGCGACCAGCTGCGCGACAAGCGCCCCGAACGCGGGCCGGATGAACTCGGCCTCGAAGCCGATCAGCACGTGGATCTGCGCCGCGTACGCGGCCTGCAGCCGCTGCGCCTCGACCAGGTACGCCTCGTGCCGCCGGGAGAGGCCGGCGAGGGCGGCTTCAGGCCCGGCGTCGGTGAGCTGTGAAAAAAGGGAAGTCGATGAGCGGGGAGCCATGAGGGAAGTGAAGGGAGGGGGGGTTACCTCTTCGGGGTAGAGATCGCGCTCGTCGTAGCGCGGCATGTGCTCGGTGAGTCCTATCGTCTTGAAGCCAACCGAGATGGCGTGCTTGATGATGTCCTCGAGCTGGTCTACGGCGTGGCCGCAGAACTGGCCCGAGTGGGAGTGCATAGTAAACGCCATGGCTACTCAACTGGGGTCTGGATACTATGAGTCACTCTGTCGTTGGGAAGGGGTTTCTCAGCACCTCGAGAAATCGACTGCGTACATGGATCTTTATATCTTTTACCGTCAATGACGCGCCGGGGCTTTTGTGATTGTGAATTCGGAGCTTTGCGTCTTCACGTGGGCGGTTCCGGCGATGTGAATCGACCAATGTGGGAATTTTTTCTGCCCGCAAACCGGAGCGGGTGCGGGAGCGCGGAAGCGCGCACCGATATCCACAGACAGGGCTTAGGGAAATGCCCATACGAGCCAATGAAAAGGAATAAAGGAGGGCTAGATGAACAAGTCGAAATTGGGCTTTTCGGGAGACGTCATGACGCCATGTGTGCAGGCGCTGTAGCAAGTACATACATAGCGCCAACGAGCACACTTGTGCCTCAAGTTAGCTTATCAGAAGCGATAAATGAACATGGATGACACTCTCTGCTATTCATGCTAGTTCTATACCTGGTTAGTGGTTGTTGATTGCGATTGTGGGCGCTAATAGTAGTCAGCGGAGGCAACTAACTAGGTACATAAGTAAGGCCACTTTTGTCCGCGAGTTGTTGATGGAGATCGGAAGATAACCCTTGTACATGCATGTTCTTTGTCTATTATCGTGTCCCGTCTCAACTCTCTTCCTACATCAACACCGCCTTTTTAAAAAGGGGGGATATAGGCATAGGAGGCACGCCTTAGCATACCTTTTATTTTTCTTAAAGGGATTTAGAGAGTTCACCTTCTATATCTACTACAATATAGCAGCGTAGTCTACCTTATATTAGTAGGAGTGTAATCTACTACGTTAATAGTAGTGGGATTAGCACTAAGAACTAAGTTATATTATCTTACTATATAATAGTAATACCCTAGGTAATAAGATACCTTTTACTAAAGGTAGTATTTTTAGGTATATTCCTTAAGATAGAAGTATATAGAGATACTAGGAACTATAATAAGCTATATTATATAGGTAATAATATAGGTTTTTTTTATTTTTTTTTAATTTTTTCTTATATCTTTATAGATTAGTAACTATAGAGGTACTAGATAGGCTTTATAGCCTAATTAGTGTATAATTTACTACTACTACTACTATCGTGTCCTGTCTTTCCGTGTAGAAGCCTGCCAAGATGGCCCTCACCACTTTGTGGGGTACGAGGCTCCGATCGGGGGTACTTTGAGCACCTACGGATATCAAAATGATATAAATGCGCCGTGTCGGAATAGTGGTGAATTCACTCCGTGTGAGCCCTGTGTGGAAACGCCGTCTCCCGGCTATACAGTTGTCCGCGGACTCGATCTTTACCCACGGGTAGCTTGACAGGGTTGCAACTGGCAACTAGCTTGACCAGATTGACTTGTTTCTCAAAGGAGCGGCAACTGCATTTATGAGAGTCCTGGGAGACCCTGGTAACAATGTTGAATTTAAATAAAAAGTTACTGTCCATGACTGTGGCAACAGTGGCCCACCAGCTCCTGTCAACATGTTCTGCTTAGCTATTCACACCCATTTTCCGCCTTGCACGGCCCTCCAACGAGAACGGAGATTTATTCAACATTAAGTAGGCTACTAACATGCTCGTGAGATTTTCTCCCAATCCAAGCCGCGGAGCTGTCGAATCTGCAGACTGTGGCCACTAGTTCGGCGCAACCCCCACCCCCGCATTCTTGTATAAGAAAGTCTGGGGCACCTCGGCATCTCTCACTTACACCGATGCCCATCATCATTTTCCATCATTTTTTCCCCATCTCCAGCAACTCACCATGGCTACTCGCGAACCCATTCCAACGTACGTCCTCGGCGTCGGCATGACCGAGTTCATCAAGCCGCGCGGCCTGCGCGACTACCCCGAACTCGGCTACGAGGCGGGCATCAAGGCCATGCTGGACGCGCAAATCAACTACGACGACGTGCAGACGGGCATCGCCGGCTTCAACTACGGCGACTCGACGTGCGGCCAGCGCGTCTTTTACCAGTTCGGCATGACGTCCATCCCCATTGTCAACACGGGCAACGCGTGCGCCACCGGGTCCGCGGCGCTGTACCTCGCGCGCACCATGATCCGCGCCGGCGCCCTCGACTGCGTGCTCGTCGTCGGCTTCGAGAAGATGGAGCCGGGCCCGATCCGGGACAAGTGGACCGACAGGGCCAAGCCGACGCAGCTGAGCCGCCAGATGATGGAGGACATGCGCGGCCCGGCCCCGGGCCCGCCCAACGCGCAGTATTTTGCCAACGCGGGCCGGGAGTACATGGAAAAGTATATATCAAACGAGGGAGAATTCGTTGGTAGCTGCTGCTAACACAAAGCCGTAATTAGATATGGCGCCAAGGCAGAAGACTTTGCGGAAATCGCGCGCGTCAGCCACGAGCACTCGCAGCGCAACCCGTACGCGCAGTTCCGCCAGGCGTACTCGCTGCAGGCCATCCTCGACGCGCCCATGATCTGCCCGCCGCTGACGAAGCTGCAGTGCAGCCCGACGAGCGACGGGGCGGGCGCGGCCGTCGTCGTCTCGCAGCGCTTCCTGGACGCGCGGCCGCACCTGCGCGGGCAGGCTGTGCTCATGGCCGGCCAGCAGCTGGCAACGGACTCGCCGCGGCTGTACGCGGCGCGCAGCGCCATCGATCTCGTCGGCTACGACATGACGCGGCGCGCCGTGGCGGCGGCGCTGCGCGAGGCGCAGACGTCTCTCGACGCGGTGCGCGTGTGCGAGCTGCACGACTGCTTCTCCGCCAACGCGCTCGTGCTGCTCGAGAGCCTCGGGTTCAGCGGCGTCGGCGCCGCGCACGAAATGGTGCGCCGCGGCGACATCACGTACGGCGGCCGCGTCGTCGTCAACCCCTCGGGCGGGCTCATCTCCAAGGGCCACCCGCTCGGCGCCACCGGCCTGGCCCAGTGCGCCGAGCTCGTCTGGCAGCTGCGCGGCTGGGCCAACAACCGGCTCGTCAGGGACGTCGACGTCGCGCTGCAGCATAATCTGGGCCTGGGCGGCGCGACGGTCGTCACCGTGTATAAGCGCGCGGATGGGGGAAAGAATGCGGCGGTGAGCGATGAGCAGATTGCAAAGAGCAGCTGGCTGGGGTATAACCCGGCGGTCGAGGCGCGCGGCTTCAGAGAGGCGGATGCGGCAAAGGTGAGGAGCCGCACGGCGCGGAGCGAGTATGCGCTGTCGGACACGCAGAAGAAAATTGAAGCGCGTCTGTAGACAGAGGCTGCTTTAGAGATGGTGGTGTATGTAGCCTGAGTGTATCTAATCGAAATTTACCATGTATATGCGCTATTACAAGTGTGACTCGGCATCTTGAGACAGTCGAAAGAGCCCCTCTTGAATGCATGTTGCAACAAGCACGCCTTCGGCCGTCCATATCCTCTCCAGAACCAGTCCTCTATCCTGCCCTGCCCATGGCGTCTCCATCTCCATTACCATCCACTCGTCTGCCTTGACCGCTTCCTGGTTATGGAAGAAGATGGTGTGATCTAGACTCACCATCATCTCGATCCTCGGCGGCGGCGCTTTCTTGACCCCCCCCTGCCCCCCTCGACTCGCCGCATCCGCGAGCTCCTCCTCGGCCAGGACCTGGAAGCGCTCCGTCGCCGCCTCGCGGTGGCCCTCGTCCAGCTTAGCCACCACGCCGCTCACGAGGTTCCTGTTGCTGAACCGCCGCGCCTTGTGCACCCGCGGCACCGTCCCCAGAAAGTAGTTATCCGTCATGTACGCCAGCGCCGCCAGCTGCAGCGCCGCATCGTCCGCCGCGCCCGGCGGGAGCTTGGCCCTCGTCAGCTGCACGATGCGCTGCCTCTCGGGGCGCTCCTCCGCGTCCTCCTTGCGCCCGCGCACGCGCATCGACTCAAACGGGCAGTCGGCGTCGACAGCGCTCGTCGACGCGCGCGCGCCGCCGCCGCTGGTGATGGCCGCCAGCGCGGCAGGAGATACGGGCGACGCCGGCTGGTGCTGCAGCATGCGCGGGCCGCG